AAAAAAAAAAAATTAATGATGGGCCAACTATATGGCAGCTTATTAACTTAAAAATCTATCTCCAAACATTTTAGGTTAGTGTGGTTGATAAGAAGGTTCATTATTAACAGCTTGTCAATATCTTCCATAATGTTGGGTCTGTGGTGATGGTTGGCATGTCAAATAACCTTTCTTCGTTATTGCTATGAGATTCAGGTTCATACCTTAGTCTCTTCATGACTCCTAATCCTAAGAATGAGCTAATGGAAAATCCAATCGACTTCAACTGCTCACTTATATTGTAGAATATAAATAAATAGTATATAAAATAAAATTATAATATATTGGAGTGGAAGAGCTGACCAGCTTAAGTGGCAGACTGGAGGGGAGGGCTGTATTGATCCACTTGCCCTTGAACTTGGCCTAAACCTCCACCAGACGCCATTATCGCTGGGGGTAGACCTCTGGGCCACTGGGCCATTCGCGTCATACCTCGGCTCGTCTCCAGTCTTCTCTTAGTTCGGGATCTTGTTCGGCGATGAGAAGATGAATTAAGGTAGGGTAACAATTTGCAGGTGCTAAGATCAGGAAACAGCAAGAAAATCCTAAAAGAAGTGTTAAGACTCCGGACACACTACGAAGAAGAAGGACCCAAAATACATATTCAACCTGTCATTATCAACAAGCAGCTTATCTACATTATGCTAAAAAAGATACCCTCAGTCATGAGAATTAACATTGAAACGTTGGCCACCTTATATACCTTCCACCTCCTCATACTCAAGCAATAAATAATCGATACAGGCAGGCCAATCGATTGAAGTAGCAGCTATTCCAAGGACCATGTCCGAACCACTCCTTAAGGCGGGCCCACTCGTCCGCAATAGTTCGTTTATTTCCATAAATCGAATTAGCATCTACATATTCGAGACACTACCTTGGGGGCGTTTCCTTCCTTCCTACTGAAAAGTCAAGTCTCCGAACATAAACAAAACGCCAAAACATCAAACAATGCAGATAATTGAGCATAGTTACAGAGTAAATTGAATGCATGTATATAATATAGATTCCAGATCCACCTTCATCAATCTAGATGTAATTGCAAAATGACTAATGACCCAATCTTGGAGCGCTGATTGCTGGAAATATTCTCCATTGAGATAACCACTCTCCGCTCGACAGTTATTTTGTCAATAGCATGGTATTAAATTCGAGCCTAGGTTTTAATTTCATAACCTCCAGAAATCCCAAATCGATTCCACATGGACCGTTGGTATCGAGCTAATTTTTTAAAGTATGCAGCTCCGAATTTTAGTTTCTGAGATTTTAATCTGTATCTTCCACAAAACTTGCTATCATTTGGTTTTGGATAAGATAAAATTTTGAATAATAGCTTATTTACAAAGAAGATAAAATGACGAACATTTCCCTCGCTAACAATATGTAGGTTCGATTTTATAGTTTTTGTGATATTTTAATCCATATGCAAAAAAAAAACTTCAATTACTCAACTCCAACAGACTTTACTCGAGCGTTAGACCTCGAAAATCTGACGGCTAAATCTAATTCACTCTACACAAAAAAAGTTCAAAACGTGCCTAAAGAAGTTTTTACTTAAAAAAAATTAAATATTCTTTTTAATTCTTATGAAATTTGGTAAATCCGAAGCAAAGAGATAATGTACATTGCAAAAATCCGTAATTTTCTCTTAACAACGATGTTGCTCTGATAATAAATTTATAAATGAAATCTTTCTTTCTATAGATTAATATATATATATATATATATATATATATATATATATATCTTCCACTAATATTTTAATAGTGACTTTTTTCTTTCTTAATTAATGAGATGCAGTGTTATATAGCTGCATAGCTATAGTGATGTGATTGAGGATTAGTGCTTTATGTGTACATGTAATCTTTTTTAGTTTTCGTGAAATGTCATGGTTTATATTCTATAACTATAATTTTAGTTTCATATATCGAATAAGGACTTTTATTGGGTTAGTACTATATAAATCTTTTTTTTTTTTATGTAACAAAGATGTTAGAAAGGAAAGAAAATATATATATACTTTTAAATAGCCCCGGTTATGAAGTCATTTCGAAGCGCTAGATGCAAAGCTGCTATTGAGACAGGCGAGCCGACGTATTCACTGCCAGGCACAAAGACTCATCAGCATTCAAGGAAACGCCAGGGGACAGTGTCGCGAACAAAAATACCTTTGAATAAGGTGCGACTCTAATTTTAGCTTTTCTATACAAATTGAGCTTCCTTTTTTTTTTCCCCTGTTACTAACAACCGAGGAATCAAAGAAGTAATTCATACCTAAAGGAAAAGAGAGGGAAGGAGGGCTATTAGGCAACGCCTCTTTTATAAGAAGCAAAAAACTTTATAAATAATGTAGTAAGGGACCCTTGTAATAAATTTTAATTAAAAAAATATCTCAGTTTCGGCTAGAAGATTTACAATGCATGGTCACGTGATGCTCCTCCGTCTCAATCTCGAGGAATTTCATCTCAGAAATTTTATGCCTTAAATAAAAACGTTCATTAACCTGATGGATTGATTACTAATAGTACGTTTTCTTGCCCTTGGTTTATTTTTAAGGTAACAAATAAAAATAACTCAAGTATTGAACAAACACTGCATCTCATTAATTAAGAAAGAAAAAAAGTCACTATTAAAATATTAGTGGAATATTCCAAAATACCAGGTGGGATAGTTGCCCTCCTCCTTTCATCAATAAATTTTTTTATCAATAATTTTTTTTAAATTAAATTATTACAATTTTATTAACTATTAAAAAGTAATTAAAAATAAATAAATTGTGTTCGTTTGAATATTGCATTGAATTATTACATCTCACCATGGATATTATTCCCTTTTACCTAAAACAAATTAATTAATCTAAACACTCTGGTTAGAATAAATTAAGTTCTACCTCTAGACAGAAATGGGTAAATGCTACTCTACCGAGTACCACTAGCAGATCCAGGATTTAATTTTGGGGAGGGGGCTTCAGCCCGAAAGGATTTTTTTTTCATAAAAAAACGAAAATTACTTTGGAAAAAAAGAAAGAAACTAACTACCTATATGAAATGGTGTTCAAATGATTCCTAAAGCCCTTTTAAATGTAATTACACGAACAATAATACTTCAAGAGATAAGTTCTTAATATTTTTTTCGATAAAACATGGGTATATTTTCCCATTTTGGGGAGGAGGGAGGCTTCAGCTCGAAAGCCCTCTTCCCCCCCTGTAAATCCGCCAGTGCCGAGTACGAAGTATTCTACTCAAATACTGACCTTGTTTGAGTACCAAGAATTTAATGGCTACTTCAGTTGATGTCAAACGATTAACGGGAGTAGTGATTGAATTTTTAATAGTGATTCAATTTGAGTAAAATACTCTTGGTACTCTGTACTCAAAGTAGCATTCGCCCATCTCTGCCTCTAGAACAACCTCTTCCCCCTTTAAATAATATATATTAAATGTATCTAAGGCCCATGCTCCACTTGACCCAAGACAGACTGCAGCTGAAACTGGATGCTGGAGGGGGGACTGACTAATATATAATTCAAATTTATTTCTAGGATACGGACCGAACCCGTTAGGGCTAGACCAGGCGCCCAAGATAATGCCCGCTATAGGCTGCCCCAGACTGGACAAGGTCTTGGATATTATGGGTCAATTTTACTTTTTTAACTTATTATTCCGGGCCAGTTTAATTCGAAGATGATGGATATCTATCCCTTAGAAAATTTAGAACCGCTTCCGGGAGATCTCTAATAATAATAATAATCAGCTATAGATAACATCAACTTAATTTAAATTTTTAAGATAACCAGGTTCCTAAAACATAACCCCGACATAAGAAATTGGTAACAATAAATATTGAAATTTTAGAACTCATATGACTAATTATTTAAGAAAAGAAATGAAATAAAAAGAATTATCTTATAAAGTAATATAGAAACATGATATGCTGACGAAAATGGAGTAAATTTTATTAGATTTTAATTAAATTGATGACCACAAGTTGGATAAAATAGCCTGAGACGTTGTTATTAGTTTTGATAATTAAAATTTAATAAATTCATTCCAAAAAACAGGATTCGAAATAGTCCTTAGTTGATGTAAAAAGGATTCTTATAAATAACCAAATTATTTATTAAAGAAAATTCATGATATTGTAATAATGATTTTTTTTTATAATCAACGTAAATTATAAGCACACATTTAATTTTTAATTTAAATGAGAGTATAAATGTCTTAACCTGTGACATCAGAATTAATGTATCAATTTCAAAGAGATAAATCAAATTTTTGTTTTAAATCTCGTTGTTATAGGTTATAGTTTCTATAATAATGCATCAAATATAATTTTTTAAAATTTAGTAATATAATTTTTTAATAAATTTAATATAATTTTTTTTTTTAAGTTTCTGCTCGATTCACTATTTTGAATGTTTGTTTGTTTCGAAGTGATACTGTTTAGGTGGTTGGTACAAGAAAAAAAGGATTAAAAAAAAAAAAGGATAATTATTTTGAATAGAATTTTATCTGAAAAAGTTTTGACCGACCATTATGATACAAAAATAAATATACATCTAAACAAGATATGGAAGGCGATCATGATATCTGAGAACATGTCTGTAACTTTTCATGGGTTTTGTAAACACGAATTTGATTTATTCAAATTTAACACAAAATGCAATCATATTTAAATACTTAGAGTTGGGAAAATGTTTGTTTGATACTTATTTAATACACACAAAATTTCTATTTTCCTTTGTGCCGACGTTTCAGCCAAAGTTTTAGGCCTTCATCAGGGCTAGTCGTTCAGAAGATCACGGACGAATGACCAGGTAATATAGTTTATTTGTACATAAGAATTAGATATATGATACCAAGAATCGTTAAGGATTAGAAATAAATCATCTATTTAATATTTTCCGCAGTTGTAAATATTAAAATTAATTAGCAATAAATCGAACGGCCTTTCCGAGTGGCATGCCGTTGGCGAAGCGATTGGTGAAAACAGTTGCCGGGAAGGTCAAAACCTTGCCCCGGGCGTCACAACACCGAATCCTGTTTCGGTTCAGGAACCGAACCTACCATTGCAGTTTTGTCGTAATTTAAACTTTCTAAGGATAATAACTCCTCTGATCGTCGGAGAAGATTATGAATCCTATACCGGATGGTGGATATAGTTATAGTGTTTACCCACAATAAAAAAATTCGGTTTCGAATTGAATCTCACGGAGCTTTAGAAAACCTGCAGGTCAGCTTTCGTCGGTTAGAAAACGGCATTTAAATAAAACTGTACTTATTTTTTTGTTCTCATCCGCAAGGATTGCAAATCGCTACGGGGAATCTAGATGAAAATGTACGAGCAGATGCTTTGATAAAATGTAGATGGCAAGATGAAGGTGGAATTTTCCGGTGGCCGGATACACCAGAGAAATGTTAATGCGACTAAATTACTGGATTAAATGAGACGAGAGCCCCACAATTTAGAAAGCAGGGAGGAATGGAAGATAGCAAACAACAGATGTAAAAGGATCTGTGTAGATCAATACCGTGAGACTAACAGTTCCATCGGATCAATTGTAATTCGATGAAGGGAAATAGAACTTATATACTTTAAACGATTAAAAAATTGTCCGGTCATTCGCTCAAGGAATCGGCACATATTTTTCAAAGGATTGATTCAACGCATTTTATATAATATTTTACCAGTGTTTTTAGCTCAAATTGTTTCAAATCACTGAATAATTTAAGCCATGGAACTTAAAAATCGGTCCATCCGTTACATACCTACATGCAGTCAACACCCATAAACCTTGTGGTTTCGCCGTATGCGGATAAGAAGTTCATAAATAATTTGTTAAAAGCATCGATAACTGTATATGTTATAACTGTGTATTTATTCGTAGAGATATATTTAATTTTGACAAACAATTTTTTTTTCTTAATAAACTAGGTTTATTAAGAAAACCATACAAATTGTATGTATTAAAAAAAAAATTCTCTGAAATATCTGGTGTTCTCCAGAGTATGATGAGACAAAGATTAAATTAGAAAAGTTCCAACGTAATGAAAAATGCTCAATTTCAATCAATACTATTATAAATTATCGTATTGTAAATTAAAATAAGAATATTCCGAATACAAGATTGTCTACTAAAGTTCGGTCTTCGCTAATCTGCAAACAATATAATGGTGAAAGTTGTCTCTGCTAAGTGAAGTTTTGAAAACAGGACCATGCGTTTGTTCGTTTTAGGGCACATGGGATTGAAGAAGGTAGGGGGAGGAATGGAGGTAGAAAATTGAATATGAAAACATTTGAATAAAAGATGGAAGCGAAGCGCCTGGACTGGGCATGCTGATGAGTGCATTTCCCAGGGTCAGCCGCTTTAAGGATGAACAAACCTATTCATTCTGCATCGTCATAAGTTCCTGAGGAGATGGCTGCCAAAGTCTGGAGGATATGTCGGCCTTGGCTCTGTCGATGCATCTTCCAACCACTATAAGTTGGTATATCTTCAAGATCTATTTCATTCAGGCAACGGTTACGTTTTGTGTAATTTTATCTAGAGGAACTGAAGATGTTTGTTGTTTTTTTTATATAAAAAAAATGTAGTAAAATCAAAATATTATAACATGTTTGGCTATATCACTTTCAATTGATTAATATTTTTTTATAACATGAAATAAATGATTAGAGTCTAGAAGCTTGAAACACTTTTTTCATCTGATCTCGGTAGAGAGTAAAATTAATAAGTTAAAAAATATTTATATAATCTCTACCATTATAATATAATTAAATGATTAAATTAATCATAATATAAGCCATTGTGTTTATTCTTGTTCCGCAGTTTGGGTTAATCGGCCATGGCCGATTTCGATGGCAGTGGCAAAGCAGTAATGCAACATCGAATAAAAATATTGATATATGCCGTACCGAAAATTATAAAACCATAATCCTTCCTACGGTTGTTTGTGGATGCGAAACATTCTTTATGGCCGCTGACATTAAGGGATGAGCAACTTCATAAGGTTTTTGAAAATAAAGTATTGTGCAGAATATTCGGGCCGAAGAAGGATTAGTCAACCGGAGAATTCAGGCGATTTCAGAGCGTGCTCGGTTAATATCATCGAGTTGATTACGTTGAGGCGAATAAAATGGACAAGTAAAATCGCTGGGCTTAGTACCGAAAGAAATTCAAAAAAGTTAATATGCGCTGTGCCTACTGGCAATCGTCTGAGACGTAGACCGAAGCGAAGATGGGAAGATTGCGTTAAGGCTGATCTGGTGGGATTGAGTTTGGATGGAATAATGTATATATCGATTTATGGTACCTTCGGGTTCGCAAAGCCTTATTATTATACCGTACGGATACTTTTCAAAGCAATTGAGAAATATTTATGACATAGACCTAGATGTGAGTTATCTTTGAAAGATGAGAAACAATACTTAATGAAATCTTAAATTTGGTATAGCTTTGATAGCCATTAAATAATTGTACATTTCTTATATATCATAAAATGAATCAGTTGATTAAAATAAAAACTTTCTCAAAAATTTTCTTTAACAAATAAAAAATTATTGGGTTATAAATTACATGGTTTTAGTAAAAAAAAAAAAAATCATGAAAGAAAATCATTAAAAATCAGTAAAAAACATTAACATTTCTTACGAAAAATACTTGTTACTAATAACCAGAGAAAAATAAATTTAATTGCACAACATAAAAAAAATTAAGAAAATCCAAAATGAATTATTAATGACTGACACCTATAAAAAGAATTTGCATTTTAATTATATACTAATTAGAAAAGAAAAGTATTACCGATAAAAAATTACTAAGCAATATTTCTTAGGAATTGTGTTTAAAAATAATCTCGTTTTTATGTACTTATCAGTATAGCGATTTACCTTGAAAACATTTTTAAGTTTCTTTTGTTAGTTACATTTAAAAAAAAAAAATCGGTTCTCAACATTCAAACTTTATAATAAAAAAAATTCATTTATTTGTTTTTTTTAAATCTCGTTATATTAATGTTTTCCAAACAACTGCAATCTTAAGTAACATGGAGTATTTCAATCAAAAATTCGTACAGTACTGCACGCGCGGTTTATTTTATTTACTTTAGTCACTACTAGGTTGACAGGTACAAAAAAGAACTCGGTTCACCTCTTAAGTTTTTTAAATTTTCTATATTTTTACATGCAATTCTCCCAATTTGATTATTTTACTGTTTGCTGAGTAAATATTGGTTACATTAGAGATTTGTTAGGATTTGCAAATCTTGATATGTTTTATTAGACTTGTCGACTTTTCGACCCAAGCGTATGTTTTTTACTTTTAACCCTGATGGTGATACAGATTGTTAGTCCGAAATGTCAGCAAACCTAATAAAACATATTTTAACTGTAAATAATCTATAATATTTAACATCCTCATAATTATTATGAAATAAGGCTCTGTTTATTTTTTCACCATATTTATTTTAATTTTCATAGCTACGTTTCGGCCTTTAAGCCATCTTCAAACCATTTCATCAGAATTAGACTTTGGACTACATGCAAAAAGCATGGTTGGATAAAATGGCTGGAATATGGCTTAAGGAACGAAACGTAACTATGAAAATTAAAATAAATATGGTGAAACAATAAACAGAGCCTTATTTTATAATATTAGAAAATTTTCACCTAAAACAAGTACATATGGATCCTCATACATAATTGGCATTAGTATCATGAAACCTATTCGAGAAATAAAAAAATATTGATATTAAATTAATATTGATGCATTTCTCGTCTCATAACACGAATGGAGGTATTGATTGTAATTTTACCCACTCACAACGTTGCAGACATCCTTGATTCATATGTCAGTATTTTTCCCATACTTTACTTATAGTGTTATTCTCTCTCCACCTGTTGCCCATAAGTGCAATTTAATAAACAGTCGGTCTTAATATATAGTATTATACTTTATTATTTCTGTAGCAACTGTGCATAGTGAGTTTCAGCCCATGATTCATAAAGAAATGTTCTCTGTGATTGCCGCATAGCTAAGCCAATTCAGAGACAACTTAGTTTTTTCTAGCTTAACTTAGATACCCATAAATATTCATAAAACTACAGTTGGAACTACTATGCACAGGTGCCACATATTTTTATTTGTTCGTTTCGGGGATTCTTTGTCTCCCTCCAGAGCACATTTGGGGTATAGTATTGGAACGCAATTTTTTTTTTTAAATAGGTATTTTTACGATGCTGACTCATAGTATTGATACCAGTACTATATGTATTGTTATCGATACTAAAAATACTACGCATCGAAAGTAAAGTATCGATCTGTATCGTACGTTCCCTGTTTAGATGATATCCATTCCCTTCCCGCAAGGACGATGTGGCGGCCATGACGCGAATCTCCCTCCGAGGGGAAAGTGGGTTATTCAGTCACATGCCAACATCCGTGCAACTTTCGGCCTAGAGGCAGAATTTCGTTTCCTCTCTTCTCCGGATATTAGATCAACGGTGTTATTCGCGGGAACTGCCAATTCACGATTTACCGGAGAATCTTCTGACAAATTCTTCAACGATGTTTTCTCAATCGCCGTTAGAGTATATAAGAATTCTCGGATAAGTTGGAACATCCCCTGGTTCCAAGTGAGTTAAAATTGCCTGGGAACTTGGCATGTTATGGTTTTCTGCAGTCTTTATCAGATATTATTTTATCAACGTTCTAGTAGAGACTAAAATACAAGGCGCGCGTGCAATGCTGTACGACTTTTGGATTCAAATACTGCGTACTCGTTACTTAAGATTACAGTTGTTAGAAAAATATTAAAATAACGGGATCTTTTGAACATTAGCCCCGCCAGTTACTTTTTGAATAGGGAAAAGTAATTGTTATATAAAAGTATCAGTTACATTTGAACCAATGTTAGATAGGCTATAATATTTATTATATAAACATCTGTTTACAAACATCTGTTCATTTAGTTAACAAAATGAACTTCCTTTAGGTTGTACTCCAGTTTGAATAACTCATATCTGTATGAATTTGTTTGGCGTAAAAGACACCTCGGAAAATATTTGAATAAGACAATATTATGAAATATCAAACACTTTTGTCCATGTGAATAATATATTTTTTTGTTTTAAATGTAAATTAGGTTGATTATAATACAATTTTTCAATATCATGTGTTTTCTTTAATCATATGAAATATGATGAACAGATGTTAATATATAATATGAAAAATAACAATATTGATTCAAATGTAAATGATAATTTTCTATAACAGTTACTTTTTTCTATATAAAAAATAGCTGGGCTAATGTGTAAAAGACCCAATTTAAGGAAATTAAAAATAAAATAAATAAATGGGTATTTTTAGTATTAAAGTTTGGGCATAGAAAACCATTTTTTTTAAATGTAACTAACAAAAGATAAACAAAAAAATGTTTTCGAGGTATACTGATTAGCACATAAAAATGAGATTATTTTTAAACAGAATCCCTAAAAAATAATGGTTAATAATTTTTTGTATATCTTGGAAATGAGTTTTATTCCTTTTATTATATTATTACATACTATATATATAATTAGTTACATATAAGAGCGTCACGACTCAGTCTGATTCACTAATCGCAAAAAAATAAAAAAATAAAAAAAATAAAAAAAAATAAAAATGGAAAGGGCTCTTAGAGAAGTTTTCACTTCAAAAAAATATTTAAAGGAATTATGCGGTGATTAATACAAAATCGGAATTGTAACTAGCCATGAAGGAATTTTTATAATACAGTTTGGTTCAAGTTAAATTTCTCTGCGCAATATATGTTTGCGTAACTGAAAAATAAGACTAAAAAAAGTAACGCCGTAAAACCTTATCTTTGAACAATAAACCTTCACCTGATCTGACGGGGCATTTTATATGTTACGAGCAAATTTTTGCGAGGAAACACGTGCAACCTTACCAAAATATCGTTGTAGTACATTTGACAAATTTGATAGGAATAAAGTCAGCTTTAAAAGAAAAATTCACTTTTAATATTATAAAAGTATGAAAAATTTATCAATTATAACTTTGTACTACCATAATATTATTTATTTTTATTTAATTTCAATTTTTTAACACTTTACTTTTGACCCAACCTCCCCATTATAATTACCATTATATTAAGTTTATAATTAGTAACCAATACTCATAGAAGATACGGTTAACAATATTTCGGCCGAAAAAAGTATTTGCTCCTCTTGTAAACTGAAATAGAAAAAAAATTATGATTTGAAAAAAATATTGATTTTTTTATAGAACATCATTTTTAAAGCATACAATAAGGATTTTAAAATATTTCTTCTTAAGATCTTTCAGTATATTTGTTAAAGGCGTTTTTTTTTAAATAAAAAAATAGAAATGTATTTATTATTATTTTTTTTAATATATATATATATATATATATATATATATATATATATATATATAGTTTTTCTGCTTATTTAGAAATATTACATTCTGTCACAATCAAGGACATTTATAATAGTGTTCTGGTATTTATTATTATTAAAGTTATTCAAATATTTTTATTATTCCTTATTATTGTATTATAATATAATTGTATTATATTTGACAAAAAAAAAAAAAAAGATACAAACGATGCCGTAATAACTCAACTGAAAACCGATTGCATTATGCAACCGCTAATACAGCTAGTAAAAGAAAGAATGAGCTTTGGATGCTATTTTCATAACAGCATAACTAATACTAAGTGGCTTGTGCATATCTTATTTTTATTTTCACCTACTACCATTTATTTGCGGTTGCTATAGTAAGAAAAAAAATATACAAACAAAACTAATCTATTTTCTAGACAAAATGACGCAATGATAATTATGCTTCTTGCTATCCTAGTTAGGAGCTATTCAAGGTCAGTATTACAAGTGGTGAAGAATGTATATATGCGCAATCGATTCGATATTAATAAATCTTTTTTTTTTAATTTAATTTTTTATTATTTTATTGAAATTTACAACTGTAAACATATATATAACCAGTAAATCTGCTATAGGAATATATAACATGAAGGTACTTGTGAAGAAGCTACACCCATTGGTAACACTTCAAAGATAAATTAATTTAGGAGGCCACTTGGCCATCTTTTCAGACGCCTCGGAGGGTTGTCAGGAATTGTGTTGGATGAAAGGTTACAAACTAGAGGATTGGGGTGACCAAAGAGTTTGGAATGAAAAGACGTATATTTAGTTCGGGCCAAGTCTTCCACAAGAGGAATGTTGAGGTCTTTATGGATAATTTTATTTGTTACATAATAAGAAGCATTTAGGATTTTACGGAGGGTTTTGGATTGTAAGGATTGGATACGGGAAGAATAATGTTTTTGTAGAGCCCCAAAGCTCAATACCATATGACCAAATGGGCCTGATGATGGTGGTGTAAATGGGTTTTTGTAGAATATTGGAAGTTTAGAGCATTTGTCAAATAAGTGCTGGAGTAGTCGGAATCTGTTGGCAGTTTCTTGTTTGTTGAGCCTAGTATGAGGATTCCAGGTAAGGCGTTTGTCAAGAAGGAGTCCTAGGTAACGGATCTGTTCGACAGGGATCAATGGAATATTGTTAAAGGATACGGTGGGACAGGATGTTGTAGGTTTACGGCGAAGGGCAAAAGTAATTTGTTGGGATTTGTTTAGGTTAATTTTAATTCTCCAATTCGCACACCATTTTTCAATGGCTAAAATGTGTTACTGCAGGGTTTGTGATGCAATAATTGGTTCATTATTGATAGACAACACATACGTGTCATCAACATAGGTAGTGAGGACGGTTGAAGGATACGTAGGGATATCAGCTGTATATACTGTGTAAAGGATGGGACCTAAGATGCTCCCTTGATAAATCTAAAATAAATCTTCGAAAGTTTATTTAGGAATTTAATCATGTTTTATGTTATCAAGGTAGGAAAAAACTTGTTAAATATATTTTATTATGAGAACGATAACCTTCAATCGTCATCTTCAGTTATATTGAAACCTTTAGTTAAAACAATTAAACGTGTTAAATGTTATTTAACAAATAGCAGAACCAACCCCAAAAATCAATAATTAATGAATAAATGTTCAAGAATTATTTATTTTTAAATTAAAAATAGCATGAAAGAAGATTAAAAGGAAAATAACTGATTATATTGGACTTTGTGAATCAGATTTAATCCATCAAACGTGGTATCGCAATCGAACATTCAAATTCATTAAGCGAATTTAATTATTTACTCATCTTCTACCTCTTATTTAATTCACATTTGTTTGTATCGCATAATCGTAATGCGCAATTAGCAATGTTGAAATTAAAGCAGATTATAAAATTATATGTAAATCTCTTCATTAAGTTAATTAATTATAAATAAAATGTTGATCCGATATACATGTACGTAATTCCTAAAGGTTAACATACAGATTCTTTAGGGCGATTATAATTAGATTTCGATCCATATATCTTACAGTTTTTCTCGAAACTAAAAAATTAATCTGTAGGATATTTCTGATGTGTAAAGAAAAATGTTTTGTTGTTTAGGAGAACGGTGCAAAACTACCAATAGGAAGCTTAAGACAGCTCAGTAAATATTCTTAAGCAAGTTGTTTAGAATCAGGATTTATTTGTTTAGAAGACAGGTTCATCGTTATCTCCCTTTAAATAGCTTAAGAAATAATATTAATAAAAAAAATAATTAGCAATTTATTGATTGTCGATTCTTATCCTTAATAATCGTGAGGATATTTTTCCTTAACTTAAATGTAATGAGCTTTAATGAACCTTGCCAGAGTAACTAAGCAGCAAATTGAATGAAACCATTGCGGTCCGACCTGGATTACCGGATAATAATAAATTAGGAGTGATTACGAGAAACATGGAAATAATAGCGAATTGGGCAATCTGAACATTTTAAAGCAGCAGATGGAAAATTGATAATGATAATTTTATATATATATATATATATATATATATATATATATATATATATATACTTTTTGATACATTGCATTGATAGATATCAACAGTCTCAATGTTTTGAATACCCAGCAGAGGTTTCAATCCGGCGCAGCTTTGCACGTCCCTTTTTCTCGGAGACGGGACCGAGGAAGAAGTAGGGAACCCAGAAGTCCGAAGATGGAGAGGGTCCAGTTTTTGTACAGAGCAAGTAGTAGCTCTTGCTGGAAGACAGATGGCTTCCACCGTCGGCAATTACTGGCTTAGGCCGACCGTTCTGCTCTAACAACGTTCCAACATTTAAAGTTCGATTCCATTTAAATAAAATTTTATAATGCTAGTCCATGTCAACACATAGACTCAACGAGTAATGCTTTCCCAACTAATCAACTAGATCCATTCTTCGTTCAAGTCTTATTTTGTCATAGAATCTGTTTTTCATCTAATACTCCATGAACTAAAACATCAGGTTTCAATCTGGACAAGTATTGAATAATAACAAACTTGGAGTCCTCACAAAAGAAGAAATCAGTAATATTTTTTTCCAGTCGTTAATGACTACTTCAAACTGAAAAGATATAAACTCTAAACACACAGAAACCACTAAACTATAGACTCTCCTAACAATCCCAAATCATCTTAAAAATTATCAGTAAGTAGGTAATGACTTCGACGTCTCATATGCTGCTGATATGATCCAAAATAAACATATATACTTCCGTTATTAAACCCAGGCTCTAAAAAAGTTACATTTTTAGTCTGTTTTCCAAAATTACCGATAAAGGTTCAGGATCTTCTGAGAAACAGTAATAGTAGAATGTATTAAAACAGTTGGCATAATTACTAAATGTATAAAAACAATTTAAATGAATTTTTAAAAGTGATCCATTAAAAAATTATTATTATATATTTAGAATTTAGTGTTACTATCTTATTAAAAATGATCCCAAGTATTGTCAATAAGGAAAATTCAATTTTTTTTTCTTGAGGAAACTAAGGTTTGTTTGAGAACAGACCTTATGTTTTAATTTCTTTGTAAATATTACTAAAATGCGTGCAATGATATTTAATATAGATTTAGCAGATTGTTCAATAAAGAAAATATATAATCACTAATTTGAAAAAAAAAAATAACCTGAAAAATGAATATGAAAATGTAAGGAATATGTAGAAGAGATCGCGTTTGTTTTATTTTATTCAAAATAATTTAATTTTCTTAAGTATTTCAACAGAGTACGATAGAATAGAGGAAAATAAATCAAAGAAATCGAGCAAGTGATGTAAAGGACGAAATGGTTAGGCGAGATTTTAATTTATCATCAAACCTCGGATAACCCTAACCTCTGATAATCAAACTAGAGAAAACATGTACGTTTATTAAATAAATAGTTACCATATGTTATTATTGATCCTGAATTAAAGGGGAAATAGATTAATCCGTGGTACGGACACCTTTTTATCAAATTATCGGCAAACCTTGTCTATTTAGTTAGGTACTAAAAACACGTAAATAACCATTTGCATTCCACTTGCATCATATGTTAACTTGAGAAAAAAGGTGGCCTTCAAAAATATTGAGCCGTTTGGCGTGACCTACACCCCCAAATTGTCAAAACAACGAGGTTATATAGGATAAAAGACGCAATAGTTTTGTAGGCCACCTTTTTTATCGATTTTAGGATGAAATTATCTTAAGATCCAAGTGAAACAAAGGGGGATTTACGAGATTTTATTACCTAATTAAATAGACAAAGATTGCCAATCTCCAGATTTAAAATGCCCCAATTCCGAGAATTTTCGTAAATATAATATTTGTAGGTTACGATGAGATAAAGCTATTTACGAAGTTTCAGGTGGATGTTGACAATTTGATAAAAAGAGTTCTGTACCAAAGACTGTATCTTATTGTTAATTGTTAAATTAACTAGAAATAAATTTTATAAATTCATAACAATCATTACTCACGTTTTTGGAAAAAGTTAATTTTCAAATTACCTGCAACAAAAAAAGAAAAATGTATTAAATAACAGAATTTTTAATATAGACAGATCAAAATATTAAAAAATAATAAATAAGCGAGATTTAAACTAAACAATGAGTGGAGAACCGAATATTTCGGTTGGTGTTGATTGTAATAATCGTGATAAAAGAAATTTCGTTCGAACGAAAGTTTCTCTATATACAAACATATATTCCGAGGGTGTCAAACAGAAAGGCATAAATGCTCAAATAAACTGACCTTTTATTGAAAATTGTTGGTAAGCCATAGTTCTTTGATAAGTTGTTCTCTTAAAAGAGAAAAGAGGAAAAGTAAAATTTAAAAATAGTTTTTTTTATCAATCTAGTGCAATGTTAAACGCTTACAAATCATTTTTACTAAACATATCAGGCTCTCCATTTCGTCTTCTTAATATAACGTCTATCCGGTTCTCTAGGCCACAAGACATGGTGTAAGATGGCACTAGATGATCTAGCTGGTATATTAGTAAAATAGTAATAAATATATATATATATATATATATATATATAAGTAAATATATATATCTTTTTTTTTTATATAACGACAATAGCTGGGTAATGAATTTCTCGATAATACCCATTTAAAATATGCCAGAAATACTAGTTCAATTTGCCAGGAAATGTATAGCTTTTGATGGAATAAAAAATTTGTATTATCTGGCGTTTCGCACCATCCAAGTTCGTCTTAACGTGGGATTGCTGTAGAACATATCCAATCCAATGACTTAACAGATTATAGTAGCAGAATAAGATTTCGAAAATGACCTAAGCTTTTAATAAAAGAGGATTATAAAGAGCTAAGATAAGATTACTGGTATGAAATTGAATCTTATCTTACGAAATCAGGTTGTTAGCAAAGAGGTCGGAATAAGATTAGCGACAGAGAAGGGAATAAGGATACATCAATTATCGGAAGATCCGGCGGATTTGAATAAACCATTTTGAAATATTAGGCAACCAAGAATGGAGTGAGAGAATTCTCTTCTCTAGTATATCTTGTTAGCGCTGATCTGAATTGAAATCGGTGGCAAGAAAATAATTCGGATAAAACAAGGGACAACTTCCTAGAACTGTATCTTACCATACTTGATTTTTACTACTCAATTTTATCTCTCAACTTTAATATGTATTGTATTAAAGAAAGTAATTTTCTTTTGAAGAATATCAGAGATTATTAGAAGCCTGCTAGCGCTTACCATATATATATACACACTCACACAGGCTATATCAGTTCTTAATTGAATCAGTTCGTAATAAAACAAACGACCAAGTTTGTTTTACCACGTTTTTTAATTTAATAAGTAGTAATTGCTCAAAAACTGTTCACAGACAAATTTTTTTTTTTATAAAACAGTGAAGTTTACTAAGGTCAATGATTAAAGGGACTTAGGAGGTCTAATGTGGCCGCTGTACTGCTGCAATTGCAGTACTCGTACACGAGCATATCTCTTTACAACGGCTGTATTAAACTTCTTGAAAGTCCCTTTAATCATTACTTTAGTAAATTTAATCACTGTTTTCTCAAAAAAATTGTGTCTACTTTACGATGATGTGTTTAGAATTTTATTATCTTGAACAGTTTTTGAGCCATTTCTACTTATTCAATAAAAAACGTGACCACACAAACTCATTTTCCATTCGTAATCGGACCATGCATCAAATGAACTTTTTTTGTTGGAAATTTTGTCTTGACTCAACCTCCAAAGTTTAGCCATTAAGAATTGAGACATCCAGAGTATATGTATATATATATATATATATATATATATATATATATATATATATATATATATATATATATATATATATATATATTATATATATATATATATATATATATATATATATATATAACTCAGTGTAAGGCGTCACTACTGTGCTACCCTATGCTTCAGGTCCGAGTTTGATCATTTATTCTTTAACATTAGCGATCGATTAACATCGATTAACATTAACATCGATGCGAATTGGGAGACCCTATTTGGGCTCACCCAGCCTATATAAAGTGGATACTCTATACTATATTCTAATAATTATTTATTATCACTTCCATGCATAGGCTTTGATCAAGAAACAGTACATTCTTACAAATATTGTACCCCAGAGGTGTTATTGTAGCACAGGTTTTTAAAAAAAAATTAAATGTAGTAATCACTTACACTTGAATATATTATGTATATTTTTACATTATCCGTTAGAATCTCAGAAGTTTAATATAATCTTTAGATTAATTTCTAAGGACACTTAGTTAGATTACCGTAAGGTTTTTAAATTTTATTTTAGATGTTATCATTTAATAGCTTAATATTAAATTGTTTGTTTTCAGAACAAGTTATTAGTTATTAGTAATTTCACAATATATCGGGCCAATTGATAGTAGACAAAAAAAAAAAACTTTTTAAAAATAAAAGTTCTGTAGAACCTTTATTTATAAAGTTTTAAGGAAAAAAGTTCTAGACCCTAAAAATAACAAAACAAATATTGTAAAAAATGATTCTAGTCATACCGAAACTGATTAAAACTAAGGGTTTAAAATTTCATTCAAGCCCTGGTTATAACCGCTCTTATGGTAATTCCGCCACGGTTATTCCGCCCCGCCCGCGAACACAACACCTAAGACAACCCGAGAACTAGAACTAGATGCTAGATATGAGATATGAAATGATATGTATAAATACTCGTTTATTTTTTTTCCATCTGTTCCCACAGGTGCACCCACAAGCGGGTACCAATTATCAAAGGTGGGTGGGAACATAACCAGTCATAATGGGTCTCAATGACTGGTCCAGACTCAGCGGGTGACGATCGAGTGACAGGAGGCCGGTTTCGGCTTCCTCTTCAACGACCATCCTTGAGAGGGTCGCCCGGAGGTCCGCTCGGATGAGGATACGGCGAAAAGCAAAAAGTGGATTTCGAGTGACCAGTGGGACCATTCCTTCCTCCTGCACAAAGCCTCACCTTAATGGGATGCAAAGTGACCAGCTGCAGGATAGGAAGTCGGCTGTTTTATTATTTAAACGATAGGATAGTAGTTATCCACAACTTGTTCAGTATTTATGAATGAATAACATAGATTGAGAGGTTTACTGTAATCATTATCATAAATATTAGACAAGAGAGAGGAGAGGCGTGCAGGTATGGTAGTATCGGTAATAATACTCTACCAATTGCTGGCACTTTACTGTTGTATTCAACTTTAATAAAAACAATGTATTCCTGCGCCTTTTTGAAACTTGAATAATATTTTAATATTTTTAAAATTACAACCACGCACACACAGCCTTGTGTCTATCAAATGCCTGTGTTCAAATTATAACCTAACATATTTTTCTGTCTCTTGGTGAGTTTCTTCTCGTTTAGATTAAATATTTTTATCTATAACTCATTCCCTTCCAGCTTAAACTAACTTTCGTAAATATTTCACTATTTAATAATGGTCTGCATAAGGAATATGAAAACAGAAATCCTTTTAAAAAAAGTTGTTTTAATTTTTTGCCATATTAAAATTTAAGGAAGTTCTATTCTGAAATGCTTAGTTTCTAAAATGACTAACCTTATTGTGAAAGAATATTATATTAATAGTTTGAAAAAAAAAATTCCATAACATGTACACACGTCATTGTGTTGAAAAATTATTTAGCAATTAAAATAATAATAATAGTACTAAACATTTTTTTTTTAAATGTATAAATATGGTATTAGTATTGAAAAAAATTATAATGTTTTTTTTTAATTTGACTTACGGTTACTTTAAATTAGGTAGATGAATTTAAATATATACTTCTACCTCATAATTTATTATTCATAAATATATATATATATATGTATACGCATTTATACAGCCACTATCCAACAGAGCTTTAAAGAATATCGACAAAAAAATAAATATTGTCAAAGAACGACAACAGGGTTTTCAAATATATTAATCGCTAACGGACAAGTGAATAAAAAGCCGATATGTTTTTTGTTGCTGTTGATATGAGACAGGAGTAAAAAATTGGACCACTTACACGGATATTTTGGAACCGGTACACAGCCTACACTTTTTTGAGTTGTAAAAAACTGCACACAGGGCACGACAACAATAAAGCACAAAGGGGTTGACAAATGTAACATCATTAAGGGAGGGGTCGGCACTGCTGGTCAATGCGACCAGGCTCAGCTGGGATCAGTCGTTGCGTAATTTTTTTTTTTAAATAAATTAATATTGTCACTGAATATTTATTGGTTTCTACAGAGGATTGTCAGGCCCATTTCCTGTATCAGGTTTGGTTAACATATCTAAAAACATATTCGGTCACAAGATTAGTTAGTACTGAAGTAATTTTTCTTTTCCTAACCAGAAACAACTTGAAATATCACAACTTTTGATGGATCATGGGTGATTTTGAAATGTTGAGAGATATGACACTGATGAAATTGGGATAAATAAGTTTGTTTTTAGAAGTATATATATTTTGTTTATTTAGAAATTAATTGATTGTTATAAATAATGGTCTTTGTTAGTTAAAAAAAAAAACGAAATGAAAAAAGAAAAGTACGTTCATTATCTTCGTAGATGAGACATTTTATCGCCTCAATTTTAAAGAAAACTCGGTCAAATATTTTAAGGATACAACTTAAGCCATAAATGTAACACTGTGTTTTTAGATTTGTTTTATTACTTTATGCAGAATTTTTTAACTTTACAATTTACAGACGTACTAGGGTAAAAATTCACTAAGAAATGAATATGTGTAGATTTGTACCTAATTAAAACCATGTCTTTTATTGACACCAATAAAAGGATTATTTAAATTTATGAAAAAATTATCAGTTATTTATTAAAAATTTACTCCAAATTTATTTGTTAACAGAAATGTATTTGAACAAACGATAATAAATTGAAAGTTTGAAGAAAGGGATTATAAAATTATTTATCGTTTAAGGGCGTGGGAGAGGAAGAGAGAAATGTATTCAAAGTTGCATAAGGCAATCATATATATCAGATCTATGATAATTCCACAATTTTTGTAAAATAAGAGAAAAATCTCTTCGCGTACGAGAGGACGTAGCCACCCAGGCGGAACCCGATTTCTCAAGAACCTCCGACCCTTTTGACATCTCCTTGTTTGTTGACAATGTTGGGTACCCTCATAACACTTTTGGAACATGTTTTGGAGCCGTTCAAGTGTGAAAAGGGTCGCCCAGGGCGCGTATGGTGTAGGGAACGCCCCGTGGTAAGGTGCGCACACGCAGACTGAGGGACGAATACCATAGATATTATCTATCATAGGGCTCCAAAATTAGGGAGAAGGGCATGGGGTCCTTGCATCATCAATGAATAGGTCTTGGAATTTTCCCATTTCTATCTGGTCCATATTACGGTGAGGAGGATTTAGGTATGTCTTGGAGCATTACCAATTCTCCTTTAGATTTTTAAAAATATTTATAATAACTTATAATTTATTTCCAGAAAAATGAATTACTTATTAATTAAGAAGATGTCGTAAATTATATTTATTATCAGTTTTTAATCTGAAATTTTTACCATTCAGTTCAGTGTATTATTTAAGTATGTTCAACATGTGATCATCCTTAAAAGTAACATGAGATTGTCTAATGAATTAAGTTGTGGTCTAGAACATATTAAATATTAATGCATTTTAATGTTTTGATTCTCATATTATGAAAGAGACATTAAAAGAAATATTAATAAATGACTTTAAATTAAGCAACCCATAGGAATTGTCATGTCCGACACACGACGTGGATGGGTGCACATTACATCATAGAAAGAATAAAAAAAACAAGTACTCATATCTAATCAGAGTTATAGTAATGATACAACATGGAATATTCCTTAAGATTTATCCAATTTAATTTTACTGTTTAAGTTCATATAGAAGAAGGAATGTGGGTAACAATATTCCATAGTATTTAAAAAAAAAATTATTTTCTATTTTATGAATATCTATCATCCTGAAATTCTCAAACCTTCCTATGTCACCTTCAAAAGTGGCATTTCTATGATTTTAATGAACTTGGCATATTCGTAGATGAATTAAAAATGTTAGAACTTAAAACTTATCTTGTTAATTATCTTTCCTGATTGGTAAAAAATCTTATAGATTCAACATTGATATATGTACTATGTTGGTTTAATATTCATTTATGGCCTATGCTTCGACCTACGCTGCAGGACTTGTTCATTCTACAAAGAAATTTTAAAAATACTATTAGTTGGTATAAGGTGAAAAAAAAAATTAAAATAAAATTTTATGTTAAATTCTTACAAAATCATTTCTCACCTCCTAAAATATATTTGTAACTTGTATCCGAAATCTTGTAATAATTTAACATCAACTCTTATTTTAATTTATTTTTTGTTCCTCCAATCAATCAATAGTAATTTTTTGGATGTTGTTATTTTTAGTCCTGATATCAACGTACAACAACACTAATAGAAACGTAGCCTGTAAGTAAATATTTAATCAAAATAGTATTTGGGTGATTGTTAAACGTACCCTTTCCCCTCAACTAACTATCCTTTAAAATTAAGATATTTATATTTATAATGTGAAATTCCGATCGGGCAGCCCTCCCGAATGTATAGCCATAATTTTGAAAAACACGTTTTAAGGTGAATAATATTTGTATCAGTTTTTAAAGTTTTCGCTATACACTGCAACCATTCTTCTTGAATTATATATTATACCCCCATGTGCTACTTAGAGAACTCCCTGCTCTAAGTACTCCCTGCTTCATGAGACCCAATGAATAATATTATTACCTTTTTAACGATAGCTCGGAAGGGAGGGAGGTACCAGGAAGGAAAAAAGAAAATTAAAAAAAAATTCTAATGGGTCTTTCATGAGCTGTTCCCGTAGCCCGGGGCAAAAACTCTTTGTGCCCCGCTGTTTGCCCTGGAGATCACCGCCAGCAAATTCCGTTTTTTCTTGTTCATTTTTTTTCTTCTCGTAGGCCAGCTCGAATGCAAATTAACAACTGGGGGCGGATTCCCATAGGGGCTCCGTGTCACTCCTTTTGTGCTCTTGACAAATCCGCCAACGTATCTCTTACAACCTGATCCAGGACTTGCAAGTCTAGCGGATCATAGGCCTCCGACAAAAGCCTTCCTAGTCCAAGAATAGGAGAACCGGACAGGAAAAGGTTAGCTAGGCCTATTAACTGGTCGACAATAGGCACGGTAATGCAGCATCCTAGGACTACGACTAGTGGGTCAATGTGTTTCTTTTTTTTGTTTTGTTTTTTGCATTGAGCTATTATAGTGCAATGTTATCCTCGTTCATTTTAATAATAAAGGATGTATGTATATATTCACAGTTATGCTCACAGGGGTCAGTAATCTTTTCTAAGCAGAAAATTCCTAAAATCTAAATATATCTTATTAATAAAACGCCAATTACGATCATAGCATAGCTTAAGTTCGATTACTTATTACTGTTATTTTATACGCTATTTATAATGCATATAACAATATTACTATTATGTGTATTATTGTGAATATAATAATTAATATATCAAACATAATTTATTAATGAAACATATCTCCTTTTGGTATTCTATTGAATATTTAGCTGTTGTCGAAATGGTCGATGGTTTAGTCAAAAGAATTTTATCTTTATATATAATTCCTTCAAAAATAATTGTAATTTTCGTTAATCTACAATCATTATTTGATTTACTATATCTATTTCCTATTTTCATAAAAGTAATACGTTATGATGCACTAAATAGTCTTAACATGAATGAATATACTATCAATATTTGGTCATAATAATTTATAGATGTTGGATTTAAATCGTATTATTGAAATCATCTAAGATGATTTTAAAAATATAGTATAACAACCTTGCAGGCTTAATCCGTTTGATATTGAGTAACAATGTTATCTGATCCATGCAATTGAGAAGCAAAGTGCATTGGATTTGGAGTTTTTTATCATACAATTTTTATAAGTGTACTAAAATATTACATTTTCTTCTACATACTTGTTTCTTGTTGTGTACATCTTTGTTTTTATTACTGCAATTATTATACCACCTATTAATTACCACCAGCCTACAGTTAAATCACAGATCATAATTTTTATAATTGAATTTCTTTATCTTTAAAATTTTTAGTACAGATTTACGTCCTAGTTAAAAAAAAACTGTAATTATTTGATCCTCTTCTTTATAGAGTTCCATCCCTTTCTACATGGGGCGCTTTAATTAACCTCCCTTCTCCCCTTTAAATCCCACCTATTAATTCATTTCCTATCTGCCCATTTCCCAAATAATTGTAAATAGGCGATTCTCTAAATAAGTATATATATTATTAATTTGTTTTAAGTATTAGTATGTTACGTTTTTTTAAAAAAAATTATTAATGTTATAAGTTGTCCACGTGACAATCATTATATTTCTAAATAAATGAATAGAAAAAAAAATGTTACGAGTTAACTTACACTTTTTTATTTATGTTTATATAGCTCTGAAGCTCTAAAGCTTAAAATTCTGTTATTGCATATTATTCTAAAAGCCCTTGTTACACTTTTGTTTTTACACATTTTACTTAAGTTGTACATGAGATTCTCATCATATCTTTTATTTATAGATCTGAAGAAGAGCTACGAAGTGGATCAAAGATTACTAAGGTAAGCTATTTCATATTTTATTAATTGTTTACACCAATTAACTTAATGGTTTACGTTTTTGGCTTTGGACTAAGCTTTATTTAATTCATTCATCCTCATTAATTAATTATTATTAGTATATCCCAGGGAGAACACTCATCGTTGGATAGCTATCACTCTCGCTAATGATTGGACATATAAGCCTAATCAGCGAAACATGTTTATTCTTATATACAATATAATATTACTAATATATTTTTTTATTTATTCTTGTACTATTGAAAAATATATCTTCAGTTTAATAGGTGAGCAATAAGGCAGAGCTATCCCTGAACTTATATTTATCTACTATTGTACAAGAACAATTTATTAGGCGAAGAAGAGTAGTTCTCTCATTTACTGAGAGAATAAAAGTCTATCTATGATAGTATAGAAATGGATTTTTTTTTTATTTATTACAAATCTAAAATTTTATTTCTGTACTATCCAGAGGGGAAAATATCATTCATCTCCATCTAAATTTTTAATAAATTTTTAGTTCTTCGAAGACCGATATTTTAATTTTTTAAATTGAAATACGTGATAAGTACCCCATGGCATCCATAGCACCCATGAGGCATCCTGTAAGCATCTAGAAATATCTCGAAAAAGAAACATTTGCGGGCTTTAAATCGCATAACCCGATTGGAACCAGGCCTTGAAATGGAAAAAAAAACTTTCGGTATCATCGGACTTTTTATTGTTGATAGTTTTCAAGTATTTTGTAATTAGAACTTTTTCCCTCGCAACTTTTCAAGTAAAGGTTTTACAGAACTTTTATTTAAAAGTTATGTCGTTTTCGCTGAAATTTCGATCTAAAAAAATGACTTATTTATTTGGTGGAGAAGGCTAGTTCTTTCATTTAGTGAGAGAATAGAAGTCTATCAATGACAGTATAGAAATGGATTATTTTTTTACTAACTAGATATATCTCAAAGTTTCTTACTATATTATCCGAAGTGACAAAGATCATTCATCGCCATCTATCTTTTTAATTTTTTTTAGTTCTTCGAAGACTGATATAAAAATCGATATTTTAATTTTTTTTAGGTGTTTAAATTGAAACACCTCATAAGTATCCCATGGCATCCATAGCACCCAAGAGACATCTGTAAGAATCTGGAAATATCTAGAAAACGGGACATTTGTGGACTTTAAATGGTACCACGTGATGATTTTGCAAAATAAAAGGTGCTAATAAAATTACTCCTCAGAATAGCTCTTCTTCAGCTTTGCATTTATAAAATTAAGAGCTCCTACAAAACCGAGTGTGATATATCTCAGCGATACGATATTTTTGTCGACTTGTATTTTCACCTATTGAATTATAATAGTCACATAGATCGCACAATCCGTAGCGATACCGTCAAAGGAGTATCGTATCGCCAGTACATAACTGCGTGTAGGAGCCTGAATGGGGATTTTGGCGCCCATACGATATTCTCGAAAACCGTAGCCAGCCAGCTGTTGGAGCTAAGATACCCCTGGAAGAGCCAATGACAGAGATGTTTTGACGGACAGCCATTGACGAGGTGCTATGAGGTCAAGAGGGGTCCTGTGATAATTGCATGTGGGGAGGGTAATCGTTCGAGAGGGTTCCTTTCATGGCAGGCCGGCGCCGCCACGGGTGGCCCCCAACCGACCGAATTGCTATTCATTAATCCTTCTTTTCCAGCTCTATTAGCGTCTATCGTCGGGGATAATGTGCCCTTATTAACCATATCGTTATATGTCAGTTCGGTTTGTATGTAATTGTTTCCATGCCGAGTGGATTGTGATGCACGTCCATGAATGATACGGCGCAGGTTGTAGTCTCTCAACGGATGATTAATGAATAAGATCTAATGGCTTCCAATATATCACAACCGATAACAAGTGGCTAGCTACTTCCTTTGGAACATATCCGCTTTAATATTTTTCGTTAAAGCTTTGTTATGCTCGTTATAGCTTCATAATAATAATTTTTTGTGGAATTGGAAATGTGTATTTTTTTTTTGTGATGAAACTTATGTTAGTAGAAATATGTTAGTAGAAAAACTCTTTATGATGAAATTTACAAAAAAAAAAAAAAAAAAAAAAAGAAAGAAAATAAACTCTACTTGGTTATATTAATACTTAACGTATTTTCGTATGAGCTAATTTTTAACAAGTTTTTTTATTAATTATTTGTTATTATGTTGTACTAGTGTCTATCTAAATCAGTGCATATAAACATAGTTAAACCTATTTTTGTTCTAAATATTTTCATGGTACTACTTTTTTTCAATTTATTTTAGAGTTTACAACAAATTATTGTAACCTATTATAGAAAGAAAAATGATTTTTTTAAGAGTCAATGTATCATTTTGTAAATATATATTTTAATAAAATTAAGCTAGATATTATCTGCCTAAAGCGCTCGCAAACGGAAAAACTCGTAGCCTGCTAATTCGCGTTTATTTTATATATGTTAGGGAACTTGTGTTATTTAGAGACGGACCCGTTGCCTTCGATGGGTTGAGCACTAAGTTTAGTTACACTTTTAGTCAAATATTTGTGAAGCATCGAGTGGCAAAGAGCCAGTAAGCTAAAGGGGCATCCTTACATATTGCAAGTCGTTTGACAAAAATCGTCGAATATTGGCCAAAATTAAGCAGTTCTACAATGGAATCAGACGACAATAAACGAATAGTATATTTTAAAGCATAATATTTAGGTTTTTACTCCATGGAAATTAGGTCAATCAAAATTAAATGATATATTCGAAATAGATAGTAGCATTTCTTTTCTTTTTCTGTGATTCAATATTATTTGTAATTTTCCATATAAAAAAAAAAAAAAAACATTGCTTTCTTTTGGATTAACATGTTTAACTTCACTTCCACACATGCGGAATATGAAAAGGCATCGCATCACATACCAAAGAAAAGAATTATGATTGATTCTCATTCTTCTTTTCGGTAATGGCACCCATCCATCAAAAGGCTCACCATTAGCCAGCGAGGAACCGGGAAGGAGAAGAAACGAAGATTCATTAAGAAAGAGTAGGTGATTAAAAAGGAAGGCATGATTAGGCACGGTGTATTCTTAGGCTATCCTTGCTGAGGAGGTGAGGGGCGTTCATTGGCCCACATTTTACATATTGCCGCATTGGGCCACGCACTCATGGAATCGTTCGCCATAGCGGTTCCTATTGCAGCCTTGAGTAAGTCGCCAAAAGATCCTTGAGCAAGTCAGTTCAAATAGGTTGGCATTATCGCTTGATGGGCAACACGAAGATACGAGAAAAAAAGAAATAAAAAAAAGAATAAATAACATAAAACAAGATCCGAACAATTTACTGTGTTAGGTAGGGGCAACCACATTATTCGGGAGAAAATAGGGGAAACAACCAATCAGGTTTCAAGAGGCTCTATTCAATGAACTGAGGTTTTTAATTTTTATTTTTTAGTACTTCATGTTTTTTCAATATATTTTGCAAGTCTGATGATACCCTAATAGTAAAAAGGATAAAATTAATATTTGCTGGTATTTTCATACTCTGCTATAATATTTATTTATTTTTTTTATTTTTTTAATGAAATTTACAACTGTATTACATGAAAAATACAACAAGTAAATGTGACATTGGTAGAACTCAAATATTGATATTTAAAAAATAAATAAATAAAAAAAGTTTTTTTTGAAGAAGAAGAGGCTATTTTTCATTGCCTCCACCCTTCTTGATTATGTCAGGTCTGAAACAGAGCAATTAAGGAAATAAATTAGCCTCTTTCCCAGCTCCTTTAGAATTGTCTATATTGAGGAAAAATACTAATAAAGAAGTGCTAACAGAAACTGGTCAACCAATACCTCACGATTTGAAGGCCAAGGCAAGCAGCTCGGAGCAATCCATCAAGAAACCTCAACACAACAATGAATGCATCAATAGTAACCAAAAGATGCAACTAAAGATGCCATAGGGGTGCAAGAAGATAGCTGCAAATCAATTGCTCGAGATAGGCAGAAATATATAAGGCAGGTTAAGGTGGCAAAACATGATCTGTAAAACCAACATAAAAAAAATATTCTTTTATAACATTGAATGAATGAATGAATGAAAATAATTTTATTATTCTGGGACTGGTGTCCCTTTAGAACAAGTTACAAATACAGAATATATATTAATAATTTGGTGTGTCCATAAAATACAATTTAATGTTTACAGGTTGATTAGGAATACTTTGAGGTTTTTACAGCTTAGATTTTTAAGTGAATTTCGCGATCAATGGGATTGGGAATGGAGTAGGCGTTTGAAGAGAATATTGATTTTGAGTGTCGAATATCTGAAAGTATAGAGTTCCAGAAGGAGACAACTTGTATTAAAAAGGATTTATCAAACGCAGCAGTTCGGTGAGGAGGAGGATAGAGGTCGGACACACGGGATCTGGTGGGACGGGATTGAAAGGAGCGTTTGAATTGTAGTTTCTGTAGAATATAGGCAGTTCGCCGTGTTCTAATGGCTTGGTATAGGAAGGTAGCAAGGAAATATTGACGGCGGTAGGACGGATAAAGCCACTTCAACATTGTACAATTTTAAAACAAAATACGTACTTTTAGAAGTATATCTGTATGTGGAACTAGATGGTCCCATATAGGCGAGTTTCCCAATACTTCTCTTAATCTAAAATGGAGTAAAGCAACATCAAAGATTCAACTTATCACGCTTTTAAGTTATTAAGATAGAAGCCTAGTGGCATACTTCTGTCGAATAGCCAACTCACTATTCCAGGCTCAACATGGAAATCCATAAATATCTGGGAAATCATTATTGATACTTGGCACATACTACAACCAGAAGTTGCATATTAAACAGCGTATCCCACTCCTTTCTAAGGCAGAGTAGATGCAACAGCATTTATCTACAGATAGTATAAACCTATTATACAGACAATTTTATGCTGCATTTCGAAGAGAAGAGAATTCACGATTCAGTTGCGCCAGATAAATTACGCTTTGAAGTTACAAAGACAAATGTTGGCAGTCGTTCAAGAACAAGTGCACTTCCTAAAATTAGCATACTAAGTGAGTGCAAGGAGTCGACTTCGTGAGGAATTTATTATATTAAAAAAAAAAAAATCAAAGTCCATTATTCAACTTAAACCACCAAGATATTATCTTGATATATTACTTAAGGTAAAAATTTATTTAAAACAAATAACATTTTGAGGAGGGGGTCGTAATTACAAAATTAGTTTAAACGTTAATACCACCACGAAATCTAAATTAAATATATATATATATATATATATATATATATATATATATATATATATATATATATATATATATATATATACTATAAAGGAAAAGATTGTTTAAAATAACAAAATACAATTATATATGTTTTACCCTCAATTTTTAAAAGATTATTTAGGAATACAATTTTATTATGCCCTTTACATTTCGCATCAGTAAATAACAGTATAAAATATTAATTCTTGCTTTCTCCAGAAAATTGAGAGTGATTTTACGAAAAAAAGAAAACGCCCTGCTTTTAACTTTCTTCTTTTGAGCTCTGGAATTCGTGGCAATATCTACCTCCATCTCTGAAATTATCGCTATTTATTACCGCCATCCACATCGCCTGCTGAGGACAACGTCGATCGAGTTCTGAAGAAGAGCAGTTGAGAATACGCTTCTGATGTTGTGAAAACATTTCCCGAAACGTTAAACAAACGTAAAATAAAAATGATAAATAAAAATATAAAACACTCGCGAGAAAATCATAATTGCCAATATTAAACAAAAAACTTCCATAACGAAATAAAAAATGAGAAGAAACTAACAAATTTTTATTTTATCTTGCACTGTACGTTTATCTTATATATAATACGTATATATATATAACTATGTACTGTCTCTTTTCACCTGGACAGCTTGAAAGCAATAAAGTACTCTACAAGGATGTTTCGTACCCCGGGATGAGCAGGAGGTACCTTTGTGGATGCTAAGCGAACGGAGAATAATCTGTTGGCGGCATTACCCTCCCCAAGGACATGGGGTGTCCTCCAAGACTCGGGGGACGGACATGAATAGCTGGATATGACGTTCCATGACCGTGGGGTGATGGAAAGATGATGCTGCCGGCTGCAGTTCCCATGCGCTCTTCACAAACAGCCTCGTAGATTTTTTACGCATTTCCAATCCTGTCTGTCTGTCGGTATTGAATTTCTATGTGTCACAAAGGCAAAGGGCAGAAACTGCTAAATAAGTAACGTTGCGTGAAAATCAAGAGGTTAGATAGATACATAACCTCGTACGAAATATATGGTTGAATAAACAGATCCGATAGCCAAAAACTAGCAATGTTAATGGATCCAAAAATCAAGTATTCAATAGATATTCCTAATAAGGGGAATTTTCAATGTTATAATTCTTGCATTTCCAATATTAAACTAAAATAATTTAATTTTTATTGCATTTAAAAATTAAACTCTCCATTGCCTGAAATTATTATTTTATTTTTTGATTGAACGAGAAAAGCTTTCTTAATTTACCTATAAAAATCTTTACAAGTCTAAAGTAAATTTTGAAGCATATTCTACATGCTTTAAATTTTTCATTATAATTTCAGGTAATATATACTTGTTTTATAAACAAATTACATTCTATATACAAAACAAAATTCCCCCCCCCCTTACTTTTACAACATATTTATTTACTATTTGTATTCAATTACTTTTTTTAATTTTAAATTTTGAAAAAATATTTCTTCTAAAATTAAATTTAAAAAAAAATCGTTTCTAAAAACTAAATTTAAATAGGTATATGAAATATTGCAGGTGTTCTATAAATTTAAATATATATATTTTTTAAGAGAGCAGAGTAAAAAAATCCTTTAACAATAAATAAGTGGTTTGAGTAAATATTTAATTTATGTTTTGTTATAAGTCTTCTTGTAACTATTAACCTATAAATCATTAGTGACCTTCTAGCTCATTTTTTAAAAATTTATTAGTAATATAACTAACATTTACTAAATCATTTTTGAAACATTATCTTGATCCATTTACATTGTTTCTTCCGGTTATACTTTTAATTTTATTTATCCTAAACTAAGTGGACCGGTGTAGAACAACTAATGAGCAAAAAATGAATAAAAAGATAATTTTCATCGAACATTTTCTTAATTTTTAGTACTAAAAGTACTACAGTTAAGATTTCAGGTATTAGGTCAATCTTGATAATATTATAAGGTACACGAAGAGCCAGGCATACTTGGATTTTGTTTTTATTAAATGTATTACCTGGATAAAAATAATAATACAATAAATGTATGTTGAACAAGCATATACTTTACAATAATTTCATTTTAACACACGATATAAATATAAACATATTAATAACGAAAATTAGTTTAATGGTTTTTTAAATATTATTGAATAAAATAAATAACTGTATTTAGTCCATTTTTGTTGTTTTTATTTAGTCTTTTGTTTTATTAAAATTGTTTTTGGTTTTCTAAGAACAATAATAAGGCCCAGAAGACCTTCCATACACTCGTCCGCAGAATATTGTACTTGTACTCAAATTTTGTACTTGTATAGAGATTGCATTATGAATATTTCCAATAAGTGCAAGCTGCATATTTACTAAACCTTTTGTTCGCCTTCCGCATTATTGCGAGTTCTCATCATAAGTGCATGTGCAGTGCACTGATATGGGACAAGGGCCGCTGCACATTCCCAGACGTAGGTTGCACACTATTTCAGTTTTCCATTGAAGGCGATGATAAATGCGGCTACTAGTGACAGAAGAGGGTTGGCATAAAGATGACGGTTGGCAGACTCTATGCTCAGGTAGGGATAGTTGTTAGAGAAGTATGATAGGAATTATAAGATAATCTGCAGCGAGGTGATTTATGCGTGAGAACCCTGGATGCACAATGCACAATGCACCGCCCCAGTGGGGGAGTGGAACCCGTCTTCGCGAAAAATGCACTTGCTCTGCGGTGCAGTCTCCAGTCATTTATCATACACCATCATTACCTGTAGCAACCTTTCCTCAACGTACTTTACTTCTTTCGCTTGTCCCTCTATGGAGGGTCATTGCACGGATATGCCAACCCCTAACAGCGCTGAAGTCTTCGCATCTCTTGCAATGCTATTCAAATTGAATTTCGAACTAGAAGGTATGCAATACAACGGCGAATAAAACAATTTTGGAGAGATCCATAATACATATGAATCCTTTATAATTAAATATAATATAGTTGTCGTCGAAGCAAAAATCTCCAAATCCAATTACTGAATTTTTTATGACAATGGTTTCTGCATGATGAAACCAACAAACAGATTAAACGAATTTATCATTATTAATTTTAAAATAAAGCATGACATAACTTTGTGATGTTTGTCAGATGAAAATATATGATTTGCTAATTTAAAAACGAACTTTTAATGTGAATTGTGAACTTTTCCCGGGACACCCACGACCATACTTAGTTATAATTTTTATAGGTATTATCTTCCTAACAGGTTAAGAAAAAGTATTATTTTTTATTGAAAAAAATAGTTACTTTTATAGAATCATTTTTTTTTTTAAATTCACATTATTTTTTTTTTAAATTACCATCTAAGTAGACATTAAGGGCCATAAATTAAAAAAAAAAATTAATGTTACAAAGTTACACATTTGAATTTCTTATAATCAGTATTTGATTTTCTAAGAATAATTTTACATGCGTTAAAATAGTGCTTTTGTAATTTTTACGGATGCGAAATACAATATAAAATTTACAGTTTCAAAAAATATATATACTGAACCGGATTCGATGAAAATATGGTCGGATTCGAGTAATATTTCGTAATATTTTAAATTTATGATATGATATGCTTTTTTAATAATACAAAATATATTTTTTTATAGATTGTATATAGATCAATAATTATACTTTGAATTATTATCAAAGCCTCTCTCCTATTGAACTTTTCCTCTCAATCGATGTTGTCCCATTATTCCCTATTTGTTTTTAGTAAATTCGTTTATTTAAGATTTTTTAGTCAGAATAAACGCAATATATCAGGAAATTACGAACAACGAATAATTATATAATTATTGATAAGAGAAATCAGGGCTCAGATATCAGCTTTACAATACATTGTAAATGGATCTTACAACCTAAATATAGAATTTCCAGTACAAATTCAATAAATGGTTGCTTGGCAACTCAACGAATCGGAGAAAGGTTATTCACTTCTCCAGTTCAGGTCAGTTGTAAGCGTTTCCAATCCCTCCCTCACTTTATCGCTTAATTTTTCATTTTTTTTAATTTCCAATTTACAGTAAAAAGGTCTTACAGGAAAATTGGAAGGGTTTATTTGAATTTATATATTAAATTCATGAAAAAAATCACGTATTCAATTTGAACTCCATCAGTGCTCAAACCACGCCCTGAAGATGACCCACATGTTTGGGTTGAAACGTTGGCATAAAAAAAAAATTAAATTTTTTTATAAAAAAGACTGCGTCCTGAATATTTATCACCCATTATATTTAGAATAAGCAACCGATAAAAAAAAGTACTTGTTTTTTAATAATAGTGATAACTCATGACTAACGAATCTCTATATGTAAATTTATATATAAAGTTAAATGCTGAAAATTAGTTGTTTAGGCAGAAATGAAAAGTTTTATTTATAATTCAAAAACCTCTTTTTTTGGTCCCTCTTTCCTCTCATTTTATGCTATACGGAGTTTTTTCGAGCCAGAAGTGAGGGCGGGGGATTAATGTCAGAGTTAAAAGATCCTCGACACCGGACATACGCGTTCGGTCACTCCGCCCTCTATATATAATTTAAAGCTATATTATAAACCATAATTTTTATTCAATTGTTATTATTTATTTATTAGTCGATAGCATTTCTCATTTTATTTTTTCGAATCTTGTTATTTTCTTGCTAATACGTTTTGTTTGGTCGTTATCTTGTCTTTCTTCAGTCCTGACGAAGGCCTGAAATTTTGCTAATTTTTTTTTCCTCAAAGACTGCATCCCTCAACCAATATTCCGACCATATTAGATACATTTATCTATTTCTATGTTTCTATATAGGTATATTTTTATTTATTATTATTGGATACACATATCCGCAATAATTCAAAACATAAATAAATACAAACGTATGAAAAGGAAAGAGGGAGAATGAGAGGTGGAACTGCCTTTTTCAAGCATAACTAAGAAAACTATAAAACTCGAAAATTGGCCGATTATTATTTGGCAAGTTGTATCTAATTCTCTTCAAAGAAAAATAAATAAGAAATAAGAGGAAAAAAAAATGAATATTTTCTTTTTCCACGGCCCTGGCAGAAATCCAAATGACGAAAACAGATTTACTATTTTAATATAGGAATTTACTCTCTTCAGATTTTTCCCTGACCCTTGCCAGAATATGTTGCTCAATAGATTGCCCGCTCCAACAATTGATGATTTCACTTATTCTTCAAACTCTATTCCCGGCAGGACGGTCATGGGACAAAGCGTCCAACTGTTTACAACTTAGTAAGTGGCTTGTTAATTTTGTAATTAATTAATTATTCCTCGTTATGAATATCAAATTGGCATTTATACAAGAAACAATGTTGTAGCTACGTTGCGAATGTATTCCAACATTTCATGACTTGCATGAATGATATACAGTGCCTCATGACTGAAGGTAGTTCTCATGCCAATTAGTGCAGAAAAAAAATCTAATAAACATATTTCCGTAAATGCTTCATAATAGAAATGTATTTTTTCTATAGTTCCGTTATTTTTCAATTTTTATCAGACTGATTTCTTTAAATTTTTGTTGGTCTCATTTTTTTCTGTTAGTTCACATTTACAAATCAAATGGTTCACTCTTATATATTCTTTAAAAAAATTATTGCAATTAAATTTAGCTGTCTCAGTAAAACAATCAATAATAGTCCATGGTACAGACTCCTTTTTATCAAATTATTAATATCTACCTAAAACTTCATAAATAGCTTCATCTCATCGTAACCTACAAATATTTTATTTACGAAAATTCCCGGAATTGGGGCGTTTTCAATCTGGATCGCTAAACTTTTGTTTTTTTAATCAGGTACTAAAATCTCGTAAATACTCATTTGTTTTTCACTTAAATCGTAAGATAATTTGATCACAAACCAAGAAAAAA